CAAGGGGAGCGCTGTGGGGGAGGAGGCCCCCGGCCCAGGCCTGTCAGCGGGCAGGGAGAGCCCCCCGGGGGGCGGCTGGGCTCCCAGCGGCTCCGGGAAACCTCCGCGGCTGCCCGTGCGGTGCCTCGTTATCGCTGGTCCCATCGAGGCGGGAATTTTAAATACTTGGATTCAAGATGCCTGGGCCTCTTGTTGTTCCGCTTTCAGACAGCTTCTCGGGTGTTTGGGTTTGGGCGTTTTGGGTTGGGTTTTGGGGGGTTTTTTGGTTTCGTTTTTTGTTGTTGTTGGTTTTTGGGTTTTGGGGTTTTTTTTTGAGGATGGGGGTTCTATCTCGGGGGAAGGAAACCGTCGGAGGTTGAGGAGGAATGTGAAGGCTGGAGCGTGTCACTGCTGTGCTTCAGGTGCTCGGGTTTATTGGCAAAGCTGTGTTAGGGGCTGGGGTAGTGCAGACAGGGAGTGGGAGGGAGTTGTTAAAAACATATCGTGGTCTTTCTTTTTTTATTTCTATTTTTTTTTTAAAATCCTCTGGTTCACACATAAAGCATACGCTTGCCAGTCTTTGCAAGTTATCTCGGCAGTGAGTGAAGGCATATCTATGAATTAAACTTCAGTGTTACATGTCTTCTGTAGTTATTTTCAAGTTACTGGCTTACTTTTCTGGTTGTGTAAAAGACTTTGTAGAGTAGAATGTAGTCTTAAAACATGATTTATAAAACATAAAACCTATATGGCTATAGCGCATTCTGGCCCAATGAGAAATTGAGAAGGCTTTGTGGGGGATTTTAGTTTATATTTCCTGTCAGCGATCTTATGGTGTCTTCAGTGATTTGTAAATATATAAAAATAATCAGGTTCAGTCTCCTTTCTTTGGAAGTTACCATCTCTCAAGGAAGATTGGAGGCTTGTGATGAATGAAGCTCCTCAATAAAATCTGAGCAGACAGATCACTCCTATTAAAAGTAGTAGATCTACCTGTATACAGGATCCAGAGCTACATATTTTACAGAATATGCTCAAAAAGGCAAAGACTGGTAGGTCTCACAGGCTTTCATAACTCAACCTTAGGTATATATTGAATGAGGGTAAGGAAAACTTCTGTCCTCAAATAACGATACTTTATTATCTCACAATGAAAAAAAGACAGGTTTTTTTAGTTTTCAGTTTTTTATGCTTTTTTTATTATTTGTAATCTTATGAGATGTTAAGTATTTGTAGTGTATTTATCTTTCCTGTTAACTAAATACCATGTGACATTCCATAACAATATTTAGAAACCCACTAACACAGGCTTTTTAAAAATGTGTATTGATGTCGACTGGCAGGAACCAAACAGTAACATCAAAAAAGACATCTCCCTTTTTTTGCTAGGTGTTCTCTTGTTAAACCCCCCTGAAGCTGAATATCACACTTGTCTTTTGAGAAGGTTTTGTTAGCCTCTCCCATCCATCAGATAAACAAATTGTCTTGAACTTAGAGAAATGATACCATGTATTTGCACTTTGTTTATATTTTTAACTTATTTGATGTGCTGGAGGTGTAACAACAACAAAAGCAATACATTTTGCCCTGTATGCATACAACTAAAATAGGTTTAGTCATTGAAGTAAAGAAATGGATTCGAGAAATATGATTTCTTAGGAAAGTCAATCTTAACATGAGAACTTGGTTTAAAAACAATCTGGAATTCCAGCAGTGGCAGAGGTTATGTATTCATGATTAGCTGTCGTGCTTTAAAATGGTTCTAGAGTATAAAACAATGCGCTCTACACAGGCTGGCTTGCTGTTCTGACAGGCTGTGGTGATATTAAATGCGGAAGATTGCTGAGTTGAACGTGGCCGTGTTCACTAGAGGCCAGAAGGTGGCATAGCTCCTCATGTGTGAGCAGATCTCAGAGCACAGGTAACGAGCTCATCTAGTCATTTATTCAAAGGAGGGTTGCTTGGGTTTTTTTTCTGAGTATACAGTCGTTTCAAACTCAGGACGAAAGAAATACAAAACATTCCAGATTTTATTTTATTTTTATTGTCTAATATTGAGGGAGAAGAGGGAAAAGTAGAGAAATAAGCTTGAAGTGTATGGTAAGACAGTGCAGGAATAGATTGGTAGTGTGAGGGGGGGGAAAAGCAGAGTATGTATTAGAGGCCTTGTGTAGAAGTGGCAAGGCATGAAAACCAGAAGAATACTGAAAAAGGAAAGAAGAAAAGGAATACTGTCAAATCTGGTAATGGGGTAGCATGGAGAGTAGAGCTGTATCAGTAAAGTTCAATGAGAGACAAAGAAATAAACCACCTAATGGGTGTACATTTTCAGCTGCTGTTCCTTATAGGTAGTGCCAGTCATGCAATATCAAAATTAAAATATTAGAAACATGTATACTGGTGTGCTTCTGCAATCACAGTGTTATAAATGTTGAAATGTTTGTTGTAAGGGACCTGTGGAGGTCATCAGTGTTGATTCCCTGCTCAGAGGGAGGCTTTCATCAGTCTTGGATTAAACCAGTAAGACAGTATGCTGGCTGGATGTTGAAAATCTCCAAGAACAGAGATTCTACAACCTCTGGGCAATCAGAGCTGCAGTACTCTCTGTCTTTTTTTTTCCTCAAGCCCAGCTTGAGTTTTCCAAGCCAGAATCTGTGGCTGTTGACCCTTCTTATATCCCTTTGGAATACTAAGGGGAATTTAAGTTCTGTCATCATTGTAAATATTCCTCAAGTAGCTTTAAGCTACTTCTGTTTAAACAGAAACATTTTAATGTGAATCCTACCACCTCAGATCAGGAAATAATTCCCTTGAGGGATGTGTTTTTTCTTCGTTTTTAAATAAAGCTTGGATTGTGCATATGTAAGGGACATATGAGACTTCAAAATGAATGTCCTTTTTTTCTCCCGAGTTTATTTATGTTCACGCTATTAGCAATGAAAATGTACAGTCCAGAGAAGGTATTTAGTAATAAACCATCTGTGAACTGGAGTCACTAAGCACTTAGAAGCCTTGATTGCAAGTGTTCTTGGCTCATTAAAGCAAAATTGATAATAATCAAATAAATATATTTCCAAACCTTATGTTCATTGTATGTCATACTTCCTGTTATATTCTGAAAGTATTTTATTTTTGCTTGTTCTTCACAGCTAAAACTTTACTGCTGACAACAAAGAAGCTAGAACAATGGGAGTGACTAATCTGTGGCAAATCCTTGAGCCTGTGAGACAACCTGTCAGCTTGAGCAGTCTCAAAGGAAAAACTCTTGCTGTTGATTTAAGTCTGTGGGTTTGTGAAGCACAGACTGTTAAAAAGATGATTGGCGTAGTTAACAAGCCACATCTGAGGTATGGTATCCCTATAAATTATTGTAAAAGTCTTGGAGCTGTATAATTTAGGTATGATACTTATTCCAAATTTAAGACAGCTTCCAAAAATCATATGACTGTTGTTTTGATTCTATTATTATCACTTATGCTAACATGTGTAAAGGGTTTGAAGGGAAGACTCAGTCATACTGGCTGAACACAACTTCATGCTTGGGTGCAAATAGAACTTCTTGGGCCCAGCCCACCTTGTCTTGAGGCCTCAACTGTAGATAAGGATGAGATGGATGTAAGCACAACCATGTTTGTCTTGCTGTGGTATAGCACTGTGTGATGTGCAGATTGTCAAGGAACACAAATCAATGTGCCAGTTCCTATATATTTCTGAGGCTGGGTGATGGAAAGTAGTATGGGAGTTCCAACTATTTATCACAGCAGTTTGGATGCTAGTCAGTTTGGAGCGTACTGAGTCATGCATGCTTTAGCATTGTCTGGCTTAAAAGTTAAAATTCTAGTTAGACCCCATGTTGAATTAGGTATGTTTATGTTAAATCATTCTTCAGGCTTATGAACAACCTTGGAGAATATGTATATTTTAAATTTAAATGTATTATATACTTATGGGATGAATTAAGCGTACAGCTGTAACTTCAAAGCACTGTTTTCTGCAAAGGATGCTGAAAAAAATGAAAATACACACAAATTTTCAAAAATGACCTGCTGTTGGTTAGCTCAGCAGCTGTTAGATGTTCCTGTGGCTTCTCACGAATTCAGCTGATATGAAATATCAGTATCTTCTGAGAGTAATTTCATAAAACGTTATGCTTATGACTCCAAATGGGTAATTAACTAAAACTTGAAGCATGACACAAAAGTCGTTACTTTCCACTGGTAGGGAGCCCTGTGTGCAGTGGAATGGAAGCATCAGTCCAGATCTCTTATGCAGTCTTTCCAGAGCAAGACAAAGGGATGAACAGATTTCTACCAAAAAAGGAAATGTTTTCAGACAGTTGGAAATCAAATTGTTTTGCTAATATTTTAGAGAAACTTAATGTGATTGATTTTTATATCATTTGTGAAAATAGAACTAGCCTCAAAAGATCAGCTTATCCTTTTTTACCAACAGTAAATGTACAAAATTAAATCTAGAGTAATGGTCTTTCCATGTCAGTTGAAGAGATATAAATGTTTGGCCTACTCTTTTTGAAAGATTGATCCTAAAATTACTGGAAAAAGCATCCACTGTCTGTTATTACTGCTCTCTGTCATAGACCAAATAGGTTTTTTTGCTCCCTTGCAAAATTCCACCCATCAGTGATGCTGATTTGCTTGTGAAATAAATTGACATGGTAATGATGTCTATGAGTCCGTCTAATACCACAGCATCCAGTCCCTTCAGAATCTGGTGTACCTGTATTGATAGATTTGGGATTAAAATTTGGTATAAAAGAATCAGTGTGGATATCTGTTTGGAAGCAGACTTTGGATATTGAATATTTTTTTTATTAAGCCTTTTAAATTTGCTTACATCTTTACAACTTAAAAAAAATCTTTCTTGTCTTTATGTGGTATTTTCTTGGGAATTTTGTAAAGCTGTTACAAGTTCATAGTAAAACAACTTCAGCTGCAGAGAACGATACAGATAAAAGGTTTGTTGGTTTAGGGGTGAGGAAATAATAAAAGGTGGAAAGAAAGCTAAGATTGTTCCTAGGGTAAGCAGATGGATATAAGGAAAAGGCCTGAAGAAATCAGACTTTGCTGATTCTGCAGCTTATGGAACACCTTGTTTTATTGCAGAAACCTATTTTTTCGGTTCTCTTTCTTAACATCAATGGGAATTAAGCTAGTGTTTGTCATGGAAGGAGAGGCCCCCAAGTTGAAAGCAGACACCATGAGTAAGAGGAACGAGATGCGCTATGGACCTTTGAAGAAAGTTGGAGCTGCAAGAACAGGGAGATCTTTATTTAAAGCCATTTTAAAAGAGGTGAGTAATTGAGGACCGTGTTTCAGTATTTTTAGTGGGATAGGAAGAAATCTTAACCAAATTAAATACAAGAACTTGAAAGAATTAATAGTTTTCTATATAGAAAATTTCAACAGTGTTTTGAGGGAACACATGCCTTTGAAATTGGGCCTTACAGCATCTGTTAAGTGCTGTTGTAGAAGAGGGACAATGTCAGTTAGAATAATTTGCTTGTTCAGTGTGTTCCTGTGTATATTGTTCTGTAGTGAGCCACAGTCATAACTGAGTGTTTATTCCAGAATTCAAAATCCTTGTTCTTTTATTGTGTTGTTTTGTTGTTTTTTTTTTTTCCTAGATTGGGGTATACATGAAAACAGGAAACTGTTGTGTACCTACATAAGCTAAGCTAGTGTGTTTTGAAGGGGTACACAGAATTGTTTTGTAGCCCAGATCTGTGATTTGGTAAACTAGCTGAATAGCTAAGAGGATACACTTGTTGGAAACCTACTGAATTAGGCTAAAAGGAAGATTGTGTAGTCATCTTGGTATGTACAGGTGGTTGAAACAACTCTGTTTGCAAAGGCCTCCTATTCAGTAATTTTCTTCTTCATTCATTGTTGCAGATATTTAACCATTTTTGTCTATCCAAAATTTTATGAAATAGAATTTATAGACGCTCATGGCTTCAGTAGATTGAATGCATCAATTGATGTTTTATTCTTAAATTCTAAAATAAATTATTTTTTCTGAAATTTGTAAGAAGTATATGTATCAGTGTGTCTTATACTGTCGTCCAGTCTTACTGGGCCTGCAGTGCTGTACTTTCATGCTTGATATGCTTGGGGAGTCTGGCATCTGTTGAAAGATGTCTCTGCTAGCCCAGTATTACTACTTGAGTAAACAGTGTTGCTTCACAAAGAGAAATATTCCTTTGTTGCTCTTTTGAAAACATCCTAAACATCTATTTGAAGTGTAAAGATTTTTGTGAAGGAGTAGTTAATCATGTTGTGTTTGAATCCTGTAGCTAATACTTTGCTCTTAGCTGGATATTTCTTTTGAGTGTTACAGTAAACTATATTTCTCTTAAAGTAGTACTTGTATTGATGTAGTGGTCTATAGGCAGTACAACAGTAGCAGTTTTGGTATACACTTGTGTCTGAGAAAACACATGCTAGTGATCTAATTCAGTATTTAATATCTCTTTCTTTTGGTTTGCTTCTTTTAGTGTCTTGAACTGCTGGAGTGTTTAGGTGTCCCTTGGGTTCAAGCAGCCGGGGAAGCAGAGGCAATGTGTGCCTACCTAAATGCAAAAGGACACGTTGATGGCTGCATTACCAATGATGGAGATGTCTTCTTGTATGGAGCTCAAACAGTTTATAGGAACTTTGCCATGAATGCTAAGGTAGTATACCTCATCCCATTCTCACTGTCTCTTTAGACTCTTCACAGAAATGTAAATAGAAGAAAGGACTTGAAACAGTTACTTAGATATTATTGCACTTACTCTCTAGTAGTTGAGTTTGTTTAACATATTACATCTAAGATGGGAACATTTTGCTTGATTCATTGGCAATCCGTGTATCGAATGGGGGAGCAAAACTACTGAACTGAAGAACACTTAGAGTATTATTGTCTGTGTTTGTAGTGTGCTGTGATGTGTAATAAAAAGCTAAGCAGGAAACTTTTTTCCTCAACTCAAGCAGCACATTAAAATTTTTTCTCCCCCCTTCCTTCCTCTACAGTGGAGAATTTGAGTGAAGTAACTTCTTCCTATAATCTTGCCATTAGGGCATGTGGGACTGGTCAGCCTCCTGGGTCTAATAACAGTGTTCACACACTTGCATCTTACAGGTTTATTTTACTGTGAATATACTTACAGTTAATACCATTAGTCTCCAATTGAACATGAGCAGAGTAGAGATTGTACGTCTGTTTCATAATCAAGTGTTGTGATCATTCAAAAAAAACAAATCAATTTATGACCTCCAGCTGTAGTGTTCATTTGTTAGGAAGGCACTTTTCCAGAAATGGTGAGACACCTGCAAATTTCCATGATTTATACTTTCTCTGTAAATCAGAGAGAGGGATGCATGTGTTCTGTCTGGTGAATCTAACAAGAAAGTGGAGGAAAAAATTATATTGAGGTTGGAACTTTAAATAGTGTTCATCTGAAAGACTTGTTGAGAAAATACCTCAGTAAAAGGAGCAAATCAATAGAACAGGAAAAAAAGCACTATGAACACTTAACTGTTTAAAAAAAAAAAATTAAAGTTGATGTAAGATTATTTGCTTTGATGGCACCATGTTTTGGGTTCTGTCTTGATCTGGTTCTTTTCTTTTATTCAACTTCTTTGTCATTTATCACCAAAAACAAAGGTAGTCTCAGTCTTTCAGATGTACTTAGTAATATATCTAAGTCCAAAAAAATAATTTCTGTGAATGTGTGTCTGTCAGGGGCATCTGTTTCAGAAAAACTGGATTGGTTTGAGTTGTTTCCTTGTGTGGGTGGGCAGTGTCCTATGTTTTGATTCATGTTGATCTTGATTTCATGTTGTTGTATTTGAGTCCCTCTACCCTTCAAAGTTTCAGGTGTTCCTTTAGCTCATATCTAATATGATAGGTAACATTTTAGTTTGGTGGGTTTTTTTTTTCACTCAAGCAGCACATTAAAATATTTACATGGATTTTAAAAAGCAGTTCCTAAGATGACTTACAGAGCCACTAGTACTGGATAATGTTAGTTTTGCCACACTTTCTACAGGTAGTAAACCATAAAACCCCTCATGGCTTATTTTAGTTTCTTGAAACAGCTGATACCCATACTTCAGACTTGAAATTCCAGAACTGTAGTTATTCATGTGGTGTCATAGAATCACAGAATCATTAGGGTTGGAAGGGACCTTAAAGATCATCTAGTTCCAGTCCCCCCTGCCATTAGCAGGGACACCTTCCACCAGATCAGGTTGCTTAAAGCCTCATCCAGCCTGGCCTTAAACACCTCCAGGGAGGGGGCATCCACAACTTCCCTGGGTAACCTGTTCCAGTGTCTGACCACCCTCACAGTGAAGAACTTCTTCCTAATATCTAATCTAAACCCACCCTCTTTCAGCTGAAAGCCATTTCCCCTTGTTTTGTCATTAACTGCCCTTATGAAAAGTTCCCCTCCAGCTTTCTTGTAGGCCCCCTTCAGGTGTTGGAAGGCTGCTATAAGATCTCCCCGGAGCCTTCTCTTTTCTCAGCCTGTCCGCATAGGAGAGGTGCTCCAGCCCTCAGATCATCCTGGTGGCCCTTCTCTGGACTTGTTCTAGCTGCTCCAGGTCTCTCTTGTGATGGGGGCTCCAGAACTGGACGCAGTACTCCAAGTGGGGCCTTACGAGAGTGGAGTAGAGGGGGAGAATCACCTCCCTTGACCTGCTGGACACGCTTCTCTTGATGTCCATGCATTACACCATACATTTGAATTACTGCCTTTTTTTTTTTTTTTTTCATTATCAAACCCCTCTGATGGAATAGACCCTTTTTCTGCAGATGTGAGTGAATAGGGGTGGGTAACCAATCACAGCTTAATGTGACTCAGGGCAGTTCCTTCCCTGATCTAACAGAAATAACATGTGCAATAAATTTATCTTGCAGGATCCACATCTTGACTGTTACACAATGTCCTCTATTGAGGAGAAGCTTGGTTGTGACAGAGAGTCTTTAATTGGGCTAGCTGTTCTTCTGGGTTGTGATTATCTTCCAAAGGTAAGCAATATAATTATTTTTTACTAGGTACTTACTTTGTCTTGAAAAACAATATATCAGGGGAGATGAGTGCATGCTGAGAAAACTGTATGTAGTGCATGATTACTGAGATCTAGTTGAAGAAGATGCTTAGGAAGTCACTGTAAATTTTCTTTGTGAAGGCTTGAAGATAATAGAAATGGTTCATGAACATTAATCTTTCTGAAACTGTTATGTATTATTCCAGGCTTCTTCTATAATGGCGGTAAAGACAAAAGTTTAGATGTTGATTACATTGAGCAAAGGCATGAGAACTCAGTTGTTTGTGAGGATGCTTTGTAACCACGTATAAAAACATCCCTGACAGAGTACCTGTGGAAAATGAGAAAATCAGCTTTGTCTGTGACGTTTGAAGACTTAGTAGTCATGGTTTTTGAACTGTAGTTATTAGTAATGCCAGTTCTGGATACAGTTAGGTTGTATCCCCTTTTAGGTCTATCGTTTGTAAGTATATGATTTATGAAGAAGTAAAAGTCATCTATTTAAAAGTTTGCCTAATGAATGAAGTGAGAGGGTTCTCATTCTCTGC